TTTTTTCCTTTCCTTTTTTCTTTTTTTTTTTAAGAGCAAGGTCTTCTGGAGGGGGTGAGAGTGCCCTGGTTGCTGAAGCAGGTTTCTTTGCCCTCTGCTACCTCCTCCGTCTACCTTCCCTCTCGTGGCTCCCGTTCTCTTCCAGGTTCGGTATCCCGAGAGTGGAATTTGCCCACACCCACAATTGATGATGTTTTCAAAGAAGGAAACAAAGAAGAAGAAAAAAAGAGCGACAAGAACTGACCCCTCTTCGAATGGCGGTATCTGGTCGTTTGTTGTCATTTAATGGGCAATGTAGTCTGCATGAACAAGGAAGGGCACTAAGCTCCTAAAGCACAAGCAGTCGACCGGATACAGCCAGGTCATCTATTTTTTGAGTGCAGGAAGACTATTTTTTGAGTTTGAGAAAGAGCATATGAGAAAGCATATGAGAATGCATATGAGCCACCGACGGGCGTAGCTCGGTTGGTACGCCCGTGACCCTCTTCTTTTCTTTTTTTTTTTCTTTTTTTCTTTTTTGTTTGGTACATCATGTAGTAACTGGATCTGTACATCTAGGCCTCAGTCCTCCTTCATGCGCGCACGAATTCGAACCGGCGACCTCGGCCTCAAGAGCCAAGTCTCGTATCCACTACAGCAAGACACGGTGTTCAAAAGTGGAACCATACCGGTCGTGATATTCACCCCACCCCTGCAAGGCTGTAGTGTCCAACTCAACACACACCACACTCAACTCCACACGACAATTCACACGCACTTCGCTCCAATCAGCATGCAGCCCCCACTGGTACTTAGCCCGTTCACTCACGCAGGCTTACTTTAACTGCTCGTTGGTACACATCATGACCTGTTGAAATACAGAGTGGAGTTCGAATCCATTTGATGGAACTACATGACTGAGCTCACCTCAATTCTGAATTACCTGAGTCTGTCTGGTCAGTTCGACAATAATATCTCAAGCGCCATCGCCCGTTCTTTAAAAAAAAAGGATCCACTCACGCATCTCGGTTTGTCTGTCGAATTACGGATGGAAGAAATCGAAGTCGGCCCACTTTTCGAAGGTGGGCCCTAATTTCCGAAGTCGAAGTCGGGAATGGATTCCTCGAGTCATTTGATGCAAAACATCGAAGTCGGCCCTAATTTCCGAAGAAGAGGGGTCGAAGAGGGGGAAGGGTAATTTCCGAAGTAGAGGACTGATAGGGGAGGTTGCAAGTGCAACTTGACCCCTGTAGTGTACCCATGACCCCAATAGTATACACGACACACGGTTGATGGACGGCCAGACATTTGTTGTTTCTGCCGACAGTTTTGGTGCAAAATTCAGCGGAAAATTCAAAAAGCACACTATATGCGCCCATTGTGCAAACCTTAAAAAAAAAAAAAAAAAAAAAAAAAAAAA